TCAGACTTCTTGAAAATTGATGAATTTATCATTTAAAAAGTGTTAATATGGTATAATAATAATCTCATATAACACGTTTTTTAAATTTAAAATCGGTCAGACGGTTAGACTTTGGTCAAACCGATGATACTTTGGTAAGACGATCAGACTTTGGTCATACGGTCAGACTTTGGTCATACCGATCATATTTGATCATATCATTAGACTGGTCATAAGATTATACGAGCCAGACAGTCAGATTTTTTCAAAAATGATGAATTTACGAATTTAAAAGTATAGATCAAACGTGTTTTTCTTATATTGAATTTTGGCTTATTAGGGTTTCACTTCGATTCGATTCGAATGAACAATATCATTTAAGCTTAGACTCGTCAAACTTTTACTCTAGAACGAGATCCGACACACCAAAGTTAAAGAATTTGAGAATGCATGGAAAGTGTTTGATGAAAATCCTCAGAGAAATTTTGGTTATCGAAATGTCACATCGGTCAAACCGATCTGATTGTGCTCATGGTGCCAAGAACAACGATGTCATCAACAACTCCTTCTAAAGAAACCTAAAGTAATAGTAGTGTTTATGTAACACATCGAGTACAATTGACTTATGTCGAGAGATTTTTTTTCCACGTGAAATTAGAACTCCAAAACGATGCAAAAGTAATCTTATAATCCTATACAACTTTTTGAATCGTTTAGATTTAATTTAGGCATTTTTTTCGTACCTAAATGGTTAGACGCGGTCATACGGTCATACCTTGGTCAGACGGTCAGACTTGTTCGAAATTGCATAATTCATCGTTTTAAAAGTGTTAACATTGTAATAATCACATCATATCACAAATATTTCAAGTTCAAATCGGTCGTAACAATATGGATTGAGTACATTTTTTGTTTGTCAATGTAACTCATTCCAAAGAAGGCCTAAAGTAATAGTAATGTTTGTGTAACACATTGAGTACAATTGAATTATGTCGAGAGATTTTTTTTTTCCACGTGAAATTAGAACTCCAAAACGATGCAAAAGTAATCTTATAATCCCTATACAACTTTTTGAATCGTTTAGATTTAATTTAGGCATTTTTTTCGTACCTAAATGGTTAGAC